TACTAACGAGGAAAAGTCTGCTTCGTAGAGAGGCAATTTGTTAGAAGTAATAATATAATTTTGAGTAGCCGAAAGAGAATGAGCAACTGAAGCAAGAACGGGGAAAGATCTACTGACAGCGCCAGACAAAAAAGATGCCGATGAATGTGTTATAAATGCATGGAGTGCGCTGAAACAAATCTCTGAGAAGAAACTTTCCAGCAAGCAATTTGCATCTGAGCTCAAGTGGTTGACAAACCGCTTCAATATCAATGTCGGCGGAAGGAGTAGATTTTAGGGCACCGAGGATTGATCTAAGGAATGCTGATTGCAGTTTTTGGATCTTATTGCGATGAGAAAAGGCGGATGAACCTGAAAAAAAGCAACCAGAAAATATTGAAATGAGGTAAGTGGAAATTGCGGGAAGGGAAATGCCAGGTTTCAGAAATTAGTGCAACAGAACATTTAGATGATGCTAATAAATGTTGGACTGATGGGCAACGAGTCGGAAGGCTGCGGACATTCCATTGTAATATGTTGAAGGTATTCACTGAGTTGGTAAGAATAAAAATAAGAATAACAAGATGACTGTATTGTGACTGGGCGATAACGTCAAATCTAATCGATCCTACAAAATAATACAAAAATACCTTTTATATACATTGTGCTTCAAGTGTGGTCATTATTTACAAAACACTGATAGTAAATGTTAACAATCACCGGTGTATGGACGCGTTAAGACTATTTTGTCAACATTCACTTCGTTTTTTGGTAAATGTGAACATACACTGGTGATTATCAACATTCGCCTACTGCGGTCTACTGCTTAACATATATGTACATTGTACATTCAAGGACGACTTGAAGGAGGGTGTGATTTGTAACTTGCTCCACCAATTTGGCAAGAGTGGACAAGTTATGGACTTTCAGTAGGCAGTCGGTAAATTTGTTCAACATTTCAAAATCTGTTCTGTTATTTTAAAGACTACACTACCACATTAATTATTTCAGATTGACCCAGTGTACATTGTATATTATATATTACATGTTTACTGCATTAATATTATAAGTAATCCCTCGGTTAACCATAATTAATCAAGAGTTTACTATAAATAATATTTATTTAATAGTAAAAATGTAAATAATATTTATTTAATAGTAAAAATGTAAATAATCATTAGTCAAGTTAATAACTTACTGATATATTAAAATTCAAATGATTGATGTACATCATAAAGTATGGCGTAATCAATTTTGTCAATTTAAAACACATTTTTTTATCTGCTATGGTCATGTTACAAAAACATTCAATTGCTGCTAACTGGACTTCTTCATTTTTACCTGAAATAAATTAAGCAATATTTGGTAGAAGTGTGGAACTAGATTAAATAAAACAATAAATTACCAGTTGCAAGATGAAGTAAGGAATCAACGGCCCCTTGAACACGGTAAAACACTGAAATAAAGTCTGCACCATTCAGAAAGCCATGTTTTAATAGTCTTAATTGTTCGGAAGTAATTTTTTTTTTATGTTTAATTTCTAGTGCCAAATTTTGCATGTTTTCAATAGTAAACTCATTATCTTCTTTCTCAACTACAACTCCTCGCCTCGAGTTCAAAAGTGTTTGTTTGTGTTGCTCACGATGGACATTTATATCATAACGAATCTTCTCCTTTACTCGAGCTTTAAAAATGTTTACTTTTTCCTCTTCGAGGGAATTCATGGTAACACAATATGCAACTGGAATGAAAAACTAAACTGTACAACTTCAGTCTGTAATTTTATCAGTATGAAATTAAATTTTGCATTGTAAATTAATAAAATTAAAAGGACACTTCTCTCGCATGCACTGTCATTGTCTTACAAATAGGTAACATTGCAAATAGTATGTTACCTACGAAAAATCCATTCAAATTTGTTACATTAAAATACTTATAAATTGCTTTAAAATTAAAATATAAAAAAAAACCATAAAAAGTTCACTAGATGATATTCTTACTTCTAAATTTGATAAAAGGTCAATTCGATCTTAAATTAAACACACCTGAGTTGAATAGATTAATCAGAATGCACAGTTTGCTGCTATGTTATGTGTTTGTTAGGGTGCAGCATCCTCTTTACACAATAATACTATAATGCACAAATAGGTAACCAACGAATGTTTATCGTATAAAATAAAAATTAGATTTTACATTTTGTCCAAATACAAGGAAAATACTACGTGAATACGTGATTCAAATTTCAGTCTCAACTACGATTCCATCGTTAAATCGTGTTTTCGACAAGAAGTGTGATAAGCCAGGACCTGATAAAAATGTACGCGGTAAAGCATAGTAGAGATCGGATCCCCAATACTCAAAAACGCGGTGGACATCTTCCCGTTGGTCAATCAGTGTCACCAAACTAGAAAAACAAAACATTTGTTACAATTTTTTTCCCACAATGTATAAATCCAATTAGTTTTATTCAAATTATTTGCTACTTGCTTATAAAATTTTTATTTTAAAATTAGCAACCGTATAAGCTATTGTTCTATGGTATAAGATAGTATAAATCAAATACATTATTAGGTATGTATTGACATAAAATACATGGTGAAAAAAAAATACACATTTTATAACATTATATTTTCTGTAAATATTTGTTCAGGAAGAAGTGTAGGCGAAAAGCTACTTAAACAATTAATGAGTAACATGCATATCAAAATTGGATTGAATCTATTCTTACTCTATGGATTGAATTAATAATATATTGTTTACTATAATTATTTGGTAATAAATAAATAGATCGACAAGTGCCAGATATAATATTGTTAAGTTCTACTAATAATCAGTAAAGACGAGATCGATTACTTCTAATCTATACATCTTAAAAAACGAAATTTTACTAAAAACAAAAATCGATCTTATAATTTTCAAAAAGATAAGGTTAAGATTACAGACAAAATAAAATTGACAGAAAGGTTTAGTTTTATCTTTAAGTTACAAAATATAATAACAGGACGAGTAAGCCATGTATTAAAAGTTGATGGTTATTTTATTTAAAAAATAATATATTTTATTACGAAAATGTACTATTTTACTATATATTCATTAATAATTATTTTATTTTTTTTTAAATTGTATTACCTACTAAACGAATATTGCCTTATTTAATATACATATACTATGTACGTATACTTATATAAATTTATTTTTAGTTTTTATTTTACTTTTACGGAGAGATTATTTTATTGTTCTGACTTGAGTTAGAAGTATTTATTTGCACGCATACAATATACATTGCGCGTTTGTTAATGCAAATATAATAATATAGGCATATAGCATAATAGTATTCTTTTATACTTCACCCAGTTAGCAGATTATCCTATGCAATACATTCATATGAAGCTCAGAGTCTAAAATTAGATTATTATATTATATATAAATATATTAGATACATAATGCTAAAAACTACTGTGTTTAATCTCAAGCTTTTTAAATACAAAAATTATTAATTAACCTATAATATTTAGATAATTACAAAACGATTAATTGGAATTCTCCGCGAAATAACTGGTCAATGTATAAAAACATACTGTACTTTAGGGCTGGAGGAGTAAAGAACAAAATCTTATATAAGGGAGATGATATATATATTATATTATATATAAGAAATGATGACAAGGCACAGTTAGACGGCTAAAGATAAGATCGCAGTCATAGCTATCAATTTTACAGTCAGGTCGTAACATCGCTCACCACTATGGCACTATGTATTAAATCTTATATAGTATTAATGTATTAAGTTTATGTGAAATAAACGAAAATAATATCTAAATACATCAAGTACTCATTTCCACGTTAATGTATATATCCGGCGACAGTTGGGAAGTAACAAATGAAAAAATTATTAACAGTCCATAATATAGTTTTTTAAGGATGTAATATTTTATTCAAGCAATTTTATAAATTAAAATAATATAAATTACGGATAAAGTAAATAATTATAATATACTGACAAGGACATATTATGTTGAAAAAACATATGTATTTATACATAGGTACATAGTGCATACATACATACATACACATACAAAATACACACACATATATTTTATACATATATATACAATAAATATGTATCTTTGAATTGTTCATAAAAAACAAACATTAAAATGTTATTAGCATTAAGCCTAAACACATTTAAGTTAAATAATATTATAAATACTTAATGTAGTATTATTTTAATTTATATAGCAATAAATCATACACATGAATAATAAGGTTACATTTTTGTATTTAATTTATAATTTCAACATATAATTTGGAGTTATATATTTTAATTGATGAATTACTAATTAATATGGAACATTGCACTATGTTTACAGAATAACATAATATGAGAAACTATACGAAACAAACATAAAATAATTGTATTATTGAAGTACTTAATAAGTGCTTACATTATTTTTATATTTACCGGCTATAGACAATCTAATTTGGTAAAAAAAAAAAAACAAATAAAAAACAAAAACAATTAAAGATTTATAAAAACGGCTTACATGATAAATTTAAGGAAAACAAAAATAGTAATAGGTATATATAATTATATAGTATTATACACTTGTTATAAATAAATAATAGTAGTATGCTTTAAGATCAAAGCAATGTCTAATGGTTCATTAAAAAACTAAAAACAAACATAAATTAAATGTTTATTATCAATGAATATATATTATAAATAATTTTCAACAGCAAAAACATCATAATATGATCAGTCTCAATTTTTAAGTACATCAAATATATTCGGATAAGACAAATATAAATGACGATTGAATAAAAAAAAAATATATTTGTATCAAATAAATGTATGAAATAATAAAATATTGTCTTATGAAAAATAAAACAATCATCACAAAATATATTTTTTTTTTATGTAAGTTAATGTTCAAAACAAAAAAATAAAGAAAAAATTATATAATAAAAACAAAATGATATGGGATAGAAATAATTGATAAATATTGAAAAATTTGATACTTCTAGAGAAACTATAATAACTGTAATAACTGAAGAGAATTGAGGTACTTCCCAGTCAGCTACCCGAAAGTGACTCCTTATTAAATACAGTGTCCATATTGAAAACTGAATGGGAGGCTGGGCAAAGAAACAACTACAGGTTCATCAGCCAAAGAGAATTGGAGAGATCCCCGAGGTTTAAATGTGTGAAGAGATCATTAGGGATATTGGCTAAGAAAGGTTATAGAGATGACTCATGCAGCCTGACAATCCAACAGGAATACAAAGAACCAAGCAGGAGGAGTTATCACCCATGGTTTGATTCACTCATGTCAGACATGGCCAAGTGTCACAACTATTCACTCTCCTTTCACTGCCTTAGAAAGGGAGGAAGCACAGATAGTCAACCCAATGTCAAGAGTAGCTACAAATATTTCTAGAATATTCAATAAGACATTCTCTGCAGTCACTGCAAGCAAAGTTACTAACACCTAGTCCCGTCTAGGGGGTTCATACCTAATTGGAGCTGGGAAGAAATCATTGCACTCCTATTCATCTGTCATGCCAATTTACGCAACATATAGAGACGGTACAGGTCTCCCATGTCTCAATTAATGTCCCCTCTCGCTGTACACGATCATCTGTTCCATTTCATATACCTTTCTCTTCCTCAAACTACTATCTTAACTCACCGATCATCCGTCTTATGCGCATTGCCAACACTGACGCTTCATTCTCTCTCTGATATTGAGCCACATTTCCATAAACTATTAAAACTATTATTATTTTACTATTATATTCATGTATTAAAGGGTTCGTCCCGTATTGTAAAATAAAATAAAAATAAAATAAAATAAATAAAATAATATTACTTACGTCACCAAATGAAAGTTAACTTTGTTAAAGTAATTTACATTTTAATATGCTAACATGTTAAATACTTGAATATATTTCTTATTATTATTACCTATATAGATCAGCCTAATATTAACTGTGTTAAAAATTACTTCATTATTTGGAATGATAACTTGGAAATCAATAATTCCCCCATATAAAATATAATGATAATTTTCAGTCCTTACATTATTACAATTACAAATAACTATAAATAGATTAATTAAATACATCACATAAAATAAGTTTAATTCGTACATCTTAGTTTCATAACCGTACACAACAGTAATTATAAGTCTAAAATCATTTAACATGAAATTATTCTGTTGGACTATGAAAATTCATGACAGTTCAAATCCAGTATTTGATGAAATGGCATACCTAAGTTTGTCTCTAAGAATACTTTTTTTCTGATAGTTTGGAAGCTTGAGCAAGTTGAAACATGTAGAAGCTGAAGGCAGTCTAAGATTTGGGTCTTTTTTGCGAATAGTGAAGAATCCTCTAATAACACTAACTATAAGTAAGAGAAAAATGTTAACTATGAATGAAACATTACTTAGTTAACATTATTGTGCTTACCAAGCGTGTCACCAAAATCTTCATCGTCTGCTACTTGGACACATCTTATGGAAAATGGTGGCTCCAAGTATGCAAATCCAAGTAAAGGTGGTTTTGAACAACTTGTTACAAACTGTAAGTTAAATATTTAAAACATTTATTTTCATCTTAGTTTCAATTTTTATAAGAGTACCACATACTTTCAGGAAAAGTGATCTTTCTTTTTCTGTGAAATCTTTTTGAAGAACTTCCCACAACCACAGAATTACACGATGAGAGTCATGAAATCCTCCATAATATTGGGTGGTTCTTCTAAGATCAAGCAAATCAATAGGAGCATTGTCTCCAGATATCAGTTTTTGAAGCTAACAGTAAAAATTATTTTAATAAAATTTAAATAATTTAAATAAATTATAAATAGTTACTTCAGGAGTAGAGAATAATGATAACCATTCAGGATTTATAACATATTTAAACCCTTTGATAAAAGCTGCTGTTTGAGCTTTGATCTGAGTATGCATAACATAATGTGCCATTAAATGCACATAATTAATCCTGAAATCATTAATTTTAAAAATAATTAACATTTTGAATCATTATAATTTAGAACTCAAATAAAGTTTGTTATTAAATTATTAAGTTCCATTTTCTTTGTCAAAATATTGAAAATGGTTAAAAGATAATATTCTTTTCAAAACATATTTTTTTTTTTGGAGGTTAACTTTACTTCTCCGAGGGTTAGAAATAATTCAATACCGATCTATTTGATAACACTACTGTTTTTTTTCTTTTAAACATTTGTATATTATTAAGTAAGTCATATATTTGGAGATTCTATGAACATTAAGAGGATGTCATAC